GCCCAACGTCTGGGAATATCGTCGACCTCGAGCTGAAATCGTGCGTGGCTCTGATTTGGATGAGAACCGGAAGCTTCGACTCCTCTCTCGGTCTCGTGCGGAAGCGCGGCGTCGGTTTGTCCGGAAAGCTGGCTGAGCTAAGTCTACCGAGGGATCTGGACGCTCGCCCTCTCGAATCCATGCGCGTTTCGTGGGGTATGGCCGGCGCCCAGTGATTCTCCGGTGTCCAGTGTCGCTGTGAGGGCCCGCCGACGTTCAACGGGTATCTTCCGAAATGATTTATGGCATGTCCCACTCATTGCTTTCTGGTCAGCTTCATGCTCGCCGAGTTTGCGCGGCCTCCTCCTGATACTTTCGTCCGACCGTTCTTTCCGATTTCAGAGATGATAAATCAAGGTTAGGAGTTCGCCTAGTCACAGCGAAGATGTCAAACGATGCCGGTTGTTATTGTTTCTCCTCATATCTGTCTCTTGCGTCTCGGTTCCCGCTTCAGGCGTTTTCGAAAGAACTCCTCCGGGCATGCGCCGTCTTCGTCGCTGTTCCGTTCCCTCCGATGCATTCCTTTCTGAGTGGTCGTGTGTTATTCCTCGACGGGCTCTTAGAATCATCAATCATTGAGTCGACTGTCGCAAGCATGTTGCCTTTCCCCATGAGCGGAACAAGATTAAATGGGACTAGCGGGAAAAGTCGGCCGGTTTCACTTCAGCGCTTGATAAATCTGTCGTCAATATTTCTTTTGATTCCCCTCATCCCGCGAGCGGGGCATCGTGAAGTCTTCGGGAACCCCTGTGGTATTTCCTTGCCGTGTTTCCCCGTTAAGTCCCGATGGAGACTCACGTAACTGAGATATCCACGATGCCGACGCTCACGCGGGAACAACACGTCCTATAGAACTTCAAGGGATCGAATAATCGTCAAATCTGGAATCCTTCGGATAACGACGATTATCGATTCGTGTCTCCCCGGATCACGCCTCCACACGTCCCGGCCAGTTCCTGCGTCGGTGTCGTTGAGTCGAGGAGAATCAGGCGAGAGCCTGAATCGGACAAAAGCTTTGGCTCCCCATCCGATGTGATTTTGATACGGGGGATGTCAAAAACGCGGCGAAGCCGCAGACTCTCCTCGGCAGCTGCACTACCGCGCGTTGACAAGACCTCGTTTGCATTTCCCACGAGCACTTCCCATGTTCTGCGGGATAACGATACCTCGCAACAAGTGATCCCGTTCCCTTTCGCTGTGCGCTTCTCGGAGTCGCCGGCGAAGAAATTGCGAAGTCGTGAGCTTCCGCGGCTCGGCGCATAGTACATCCTCGCTCCAAGCATTCTGCTTTTCTAGCGGCTCCGGGGACGATCATTGCCCTCTGCGTGACATTGTTCCAAACGCTCAGTCGATTCAATCACCGTGGACGCCCGAAAATAGATCATTCGATCACAAGATACAACAGACGGTTGCCGCAAAGTTCCGACTGCCCGATCGTGGCAGGTGTATCGATTGGTAGCTATTTTTCCACGCTCCTCTATGAGCACCGTCGGCGGATGAACTAGACTGCAATCCGCTGCGCTGTTCGACTCTAATGATCATCTCGTCCATCCGCTCTAGTTCCGGTCGACTTTGAAGAACAATATTGCGACATTGTCATCGGGGATCACGCCGCTCACGGAATCTTCTTCGAAGTCTCCCTCAAAACTAATTCATGATACGCAAAGTATATAGGATTATTGTGGAGTTCGATGCTTATCGTGAGCTCTAGGAGTTCATCGAGCCCGCCACCGCGATAGGCAGTTCATTCCGGCGTCATACTTCACGACGGTGGCGGAACATGCGTGTGGACGAATAAGCTCGCCGGGACCGTCGAGGCGTTCCAGGAAGATCGACGGAGACACCAGGACATCGAAGACGGCACGCTCTCCGGTATCAGTAGTTCGACTCCTTCAATGAGTCTGCCCCGAACTCCTGGTAGGGTGTTCCGACGACTGGCTCGAATCGTCTTCTAACAAATATTTGCATCGGAAGGGAGCGGTGCGACCGCTTGCGAGATACTTTCAGTTCTCTAGGTGGCGGACGTCTTTCAGAAACTTATGATACGGTCGAAATTAATTCACGTCGAGATTTTCAAGGATTCAGTCCTCCGTAATTAGTGTTCATCGACGCGTAGTGCAGCTGTTTCGCCGGCAGACCCGCAGACGGGAATAAGTACTCCTGAGCATGAAGAGACTTCGGCATCTTCGCGACAAGTCCGTTTTCGTTCTCGCGGATTTTCAATCAAATCTTTCCTGGGAGTCGTTGAGGCAGACTCCCGAAGGACAATCTTCAGGCTCGCCGCTAACCACTCGCCATGAGATGAAACCCGAGGCGGGCTCGCCAGACTCCAATTCCTACGTGTCGAGATCCTCCGGAATCATCATAGAAACGAAGAATTTCACGCTTAACGTCATCTGAGAGAACGCTGGAAGATTTCGAATGCCTCGGAAATTCGCGCTGGCGGGAGGAGGCGTCGGGAGTTCGAATATGCGATTCTCCGGCTGAGAAAAAATGAATTCGATCCCCCCGAAATTTCCCGACAGCGTAGACGATTCCTCCCTTTGGGGATCAGACAACAAGCTATCTGGCGGGAGAAGACAGTTTTCGGAAACTCATTCCGATTCCCAATCATCCCATCAGAGCCGGTCGTCCCTTTGTCGATTCGCCCGACGTCGGTGCCGTTTGCCGCCCAGACACGGAGTGGAGTCGGGCACATAAATCGGAGCGTCTTCTAGCGTGAGACATATTTTTGGGATGGCTCAGAACCTTGTTCCTTCCTCCCACCAGTCTCGTGTCCCGAACCCCGGCCTGACTGCTCTGCGAACAGGCGTGCTGCTGGGCCAAAAAGTCACGCTACGCTCGTCGACGGAGTCTCCGGAGTCCGATGCAGCACGGAGACACAATTTGACACGCGAGACTCAGGAGGGTACAGATGCTCATCCAGATGATTGTAGGTGTGGAATGAGGAGGCGTAGCGCAGCTCTGGAAAAGAGAGCGAGATATAGCGCGGGACCGCACGCTCACCGACCCGCGGGCCCGCCAGGGACTACGACAGACAGCTCGGTCGGGGAGGCAGACGGCTGCACGGACGTACAGACCCGAGAATAGAGTGTGGTTTCTGTTCTTTCGGCGGCGGCGGCGTCGTCGTCCGAGGGCAGAGGGAATGGAGCCTCGGACGCCCTGTCATTGTGGGACGTGGAAATTCAGAGCGAATCTTCAATCTTTCGTAAATAAGCATCTTTATGTACTCCCACTCCACCTTCATCTCATGCATCCTGATTTCTGACCCGAGCTGCGGTGCCGTCGGAGCGCTTATAGCCAGGGGGACCTGAGAGAAAACTGGAGGTCTAAGGAGACGAATAAGAAGCAGCACGAGCTTGCGGAATAAAACGTAGGTAGACGGTAAGGAGAGGAGGATTTGGAGCGTGAAGGATCGGAAAAACTCGGAGAATGAGGATACGGGGAAAGGAGAATTAGGGGGAACCTTAGATATTGCTCTCCCTCTGGAGGAAGCGACGATGATAGGAATATTGAGGAACGCTTAGGGAAATTACAGAAAGCCTCGAAGATGGGGGGAGGGGAATCTAGAAAGTAGGAACTCAGAATATATGCAATGCGGGACGAGACGAGGGGGAGGCAAAAACGGATTGAGAACGGAGGGCGATTCCGAGGAAGAAAGGGCACCGATCGGTGAGGATTGTTGCCATATGAATATTCAAAGATTGGCTCTCTCAGGGAAATATGAGGGGGCAGAAGACGGAAGTGGGAGCGGTCATAGCACCATGGCATTGCTTGTACCGTCTGCTAATGCGGAAGCTCCGATTTCACCTCTCCCGTCAAAGTGATCCTGTATGTCCGCGATCCTATGAGCAGAAGCGAATATCGCCAATGAATACGGATGCACTTGCCTGACGAAGTATCCGAGAGATCGCAACATTGCATCATTAGCATCAATGCGTGATTTCGTTATCGTCGTACGAAACGAAACTCTCGGCTGACTGCTGCTGGATGTTATGCGGACAAACAGAACCGCATTCCCCTGCACGCAGCTTGCATACCCGTTCGGTCGCCATAGCCTTTGCTAACTTATTTAATTAGAATGTTGATAGAAAGTGAGTCCGCAAAGCCGCTGCATCGTGTATTTGGCTCTAAGGGCGAGAAAGCCATTCAGGCAGCATGAGCTGACACGGACAGAAGAGGGAGCGGCGTAAGGGCTCGGGGCTTCCGACGGCCAACGGAGACTGCTGGCTCACTTGGATAACCCGTGGTCGTACCAATAAAAGGAATATAGATCATTTCCGATTCTCGTCAAGGTCACGGGCCTTTCAGAAAATGCACGTCCTCATTCGAAGAGCGGATGCAACACATCGCGACCCGGTGAGTGGACCGATAGGAATTATTCGACTTGAGCATCGTGGGCAGGAATAGTTGTAGCGATCCTCACTGCTCGCAGGAAGCAGATCCTCAAATCGGGAGTCCGAGCCAATCAGTCCCTCACTCGAACTCTCGCGACGGCTGCGTTCATGGCATCCCAATCGGTTCCGGCCACGGATTTCGGAAAGCGAAGGAATCGTGGGTCAGAGATCGGAGACTTGAGATCGGACAGCGGATTCTCTCCTCCCCTTCTTCACTGGAAATGGGCTCTCTTCGGACCCTAAGACGCGTACTGACATCCGAAGATGCTCTGTCATTTTAGAAAGACATTCAGTGTTCACGCATATTATGACGCCCGCCATTGCGAACTCGTCGATCCGAACCCTCTCCCAATTTTTTGGCGCGGAAAGCATGAGAAACTACTTTTCCGCCAAAGGTTTGGATGTATGTTTTGCCGAACCGCCTCTCTCTCGCTTCGGAGTGGAATACATAACTGTCTTTAAGAGCCGCCGCTGCCGCTTCGTTGTTTTGAAGCCGCCTGACCTATGCGTTGCGTCGCCTCTTCTTCTGAGCACACTTGCTATAGCGCCGATATGATGGTAGAAATGGTGGAGGACATGGTCGAATCCCTTGAAGAATTCGGTTCGGGCGACTTGGTGCCCCCCGAATCCGGGAGCCCCTCGGCCGACTCGGGCTTCGATGATGGAATCAGGGTCGCGAACGATCCCGTTGAACCCTTCCGAACACAAATCCGATCGGGCGATGTCGTCATGTTCCTTGTGAACTCGGAAATTTGGGAGTTGATGCATCCGTTCGGTGAGTTTCTGATTCCCCTTAGGGTTTTGAATACGCCGGGGAAGGATGAGCGATTTCCAAGTTCCAAAGTTCCTCAAGTGCATGTGACGTCGCGGATACTAATCGTCGGTTCATTCAATCGGGTGCCCAGGCCATGAGATGTTGATCAACACGAACGGACGTTATCTCCGACCCGACGTTAGAGTCGAGCTTCAAGGCCTCAAACCCGATAAGATGTACTCGGTACGAGCCCGGATAGGAACAATATCGCCGACGAAGCTGGCTTTCCGAAGAGGACGCTGGGACTATACCACGGAAAGTAGGTGATTTTTCAAATAATCGAGCCGAGTCTATAACCTTTCTTGCTGGATACTGGTATCTAGCAAAAGTTTCTGGTTCCAGCCGCCCAAGAATTGTCGATCGTATACGAGCATCCCGAATCGCCTAAGCTGGGTCAGTATTGGCTGGACGCGTTCATCGTATTCGACTCGATCAAAGTGAGCATCTCGACGTTACAATGCACGCCGTACCCGCAGTGAATCCGTATTGATATTTTCTTATTCCCATGCTCGTGCCGTCCGACCTGGATCGTATTCGCGTGTTCGATCGAGTGATTTAGTGAGAGGTCCTCCCTAGGTGTATAGTCAAGCGAATCTAGAAGAAGAATCCGCCGCAACGAAACTCGTGCTGGACACCCGTCGAAAATATCAGCTCGCGATCGAAGTAGAAGAATTACAGGGAGCAACGCATCACTTCGAATTCGAACAACTGCAATTCATCTCGGTGACCGCCTGGCACTCGGCGCATGTGAAGAAATTCAAGGTCAAACCTCATCAATACGCGAAGTGAGTTCTCCGAATCCCTAGTTTCCCGGTCGGTCGAAGGCCGTCCCAATGATCAATCGATTAATTCGACACCAATCAAAATCGGAATCGTGACGTTGAATATTCATTCGTTGTATTGACCTATCACTTCGGGTTCGCAGTCCGACGCGTATGAAGCCGGTTGATGAAGTCGATGCGGCCATCGGATCGCGTTCAGCGCCCCCGGTTTTCCGTGTTGTCAACCACGAAGTCAGCAACGAGCTCAACCCGAACGCCATCAACATTTTGTGCAAACCACCGGCATCAACGAGCAGTAGTCGGATTCATAAAATAGGTGAACTTCTTTAGTTCCACTCCTTTCATGAATAGCCCTCGCCAGGAGTCTCATCCGCCTGGAGTGTCTCCCTCCGATGTTTCCCATCCGCCGTTTATCGAAAAGGCTCTCAGTTCGATCGATCTCGAACAGGGAGGAACAGTGTCTGAGGATTATTTTTGGCTTCTGCAGGTATTATCGAAGATTCAGGATCGGCGCCGGTCTCATCAGCGCCTACGAGACGCGAAACGGAACAAGCTGTCCGCTTATTGAATAACGACCAGAGTCTCGACTTCGAAGATGATTTTCTCTCGTAGACATATTAAGGGAACCTCGGTGTTGCATATTGTGCCTCCGAATGGCTCAACTATTCAATACCCCTGTGCGATGAGGGGTATTCATAAACATTTTAAACCCATCCTCAATAAATATCAGCTCGGAATTGAAGAGCATTTTAAGAATAACCCTGTGTCTATTGTTGTTTTTTTGTAGCTTGGCCCCGAGTCAACCCCTCGGAGCTCAGTCAGAAGCTCTCTTTGAGAGAGCCCGAGTCTTCGCCTCCTTATTACTTATCGGGATCAGGCCGAGCTTCCACGATGAGGGGAGGCTCGGGCTCCGCTTCTTGGAACGGTGTCAAGAGCTCAGCCAGTGATCGCCGCTGAATGTGGCGTCCACTGAAATCATTGCTGTAATGTCGACGCTCTTCAATGAGCCGGGAAAAAGATCCGGAGATAAGAACCGGGATCGGCAACAAATCGATCGATACATCTACGTAGGAGCTAGCCAAAAGGGTAGAACGTGATGATGTCGATCGAGAAGAGTTGTTTCGGCCACCGAAGTACCGAACGAAAGTGAGGGCTATAAGGAGATATCGGAGCAGAAGTTGCTGCGGCGCCCATCGCGCCTTCATCTCCAGATGAAGACCACCTCCGAACCCTCCATTAAAGATAAACTTCTCCTCTCATAGATAATTGAACCTCTCGTTCCCCCACCTGCGCCCTCTGCCCGACCGAGCGATCTTTGAAGCAACTCGAAGGAGCAGCGAGGAGAACGATGTCTTGGCCGAGTCTATATCTACCTAAACAGCCTCTCCGCTCCTTACTCCATCAAACAGCTCGTCTTCCTCTAATGGTCGAGTGGATGAGCTTCATGTTGAAGATTAAGTTTTCTCTCCATCATGGTACTTGGAGAAGTGCTCTACCCCACAGCTCTGCAAGAGTGCGAACCTCCCCCGTCGCTCACAGAGTGCCTCTGAGAACCGTAAGTCTTCGCAGATCGTTCGAGAATGCAATTGACTCCGTCAGGCTCGGAAAAAGGAATGATTAGCCCTATTTTTTCAGTTCTACTTGAGACGGGAACGCATTGAATTCGGTGCAAATTCCCTGAGAACCAAAGCGGGTCGAGAGGAGATCCAATTCTGAATCGATCGAGTATTTAGAATTTGGAATTTCGCGCTCGTGTCACTGGGCTTCTGCGGAACAATATAGGAATTGAGAGTGAGAGGGAAATGAAGATGTAAACAAGCCGGTTAAAAGACTGTCTAATGTCTACTGGCGGATTGGGGCTGGGGGATTGTCGCAAGCTTGCGGACGGGAAACACCGGGAGCTGGGGAGCGACAACGGTTTATCCTCTCGGACTTTATTTCACCAACCACAGCGACTTGCATATCCGTTTCCCTTTCCTCTTGTAATCGCGATTGTAGCTTTCGATTATGAGCTTGTTGGGGAGAGGTGGAGTCAGTAGCTACAATAGTCTTGCTCATCGCGCTGCGTGGTATGGGGGATAGCTGGGTGCTGCTGTTTGTATTGGGAATTGTTCGCCACGAAGCAGTAGTTTTAGTGCCGGCTGACTGGCTGACGGACTGACTTCCGCTTCCTCCCCGCGGTCGGTATGAAATTTTCGCCGGAAGAGGTGGTCGGGCTCGGCGAGTTGGGAGTAACACAAAAAAAATCACTAAAACGACGCAACGCCTCATTCGACGTTGGAAACAAAAGGAGCATCTGGCCGGAATCGGACGGCGGGAAATGGGAAAAGTTTCCGAACTTGAGCGGAAACCAGTCTTCGATCTTCGCCCAGCCGCCGATTCAACCTTCAGCAACATCGTTGTCTGTGTTTCCCTTTTCCATCGGTCTGGGGTCTCTTCTCCTCTCTCTCTCTCTCACTACTCGCCTCAGAAGAAGAGAAAGCCCAGACAAACAACTCGCCGAAAGACAAAAGTAATTCCGCCAAAGTTCGCCACCACGCATCGGCGCCGCAAGTCCGATGGCAGAGGATTCTGCGTCCCCCGATACTACGGTCTGGGCCCGTGGCAAACGGTCATCGCTCGTTCTGTATGCGGGACGGATAGATGAAATGATGAGAGAAACGTGAGCATTCCGTGAGAATCATCATCTCGCACACCCAACGATGCTCACCGGTTTCCGCTTGAGCCTCGACGCGTCGACGGAGTTTTCTCTCGATCCTTCCGTTTCGCGACTGACAGAGGGCTGAACCTTGGGTGATATCCGCGAAAACATCGAGCACAGGCGAGGTGACGGCTACTTCGCTCACCGGGCGAGCTCGCTCCGAGCCTAATCGGTCACTGTCTTCAATTCTGAATTATTGGGTGTCAGAATCGAACATTTCCCGAAGTCCTTTCCTTCCGGGGATGATCCTGCACTTTATCGCATGAAGTACGCTGACGGGGCAGTTCGGCGAAGACTGTCGCCCATTGCTCGACTCTGGAGATGCACGGTTGCGTTCGCAAACTGAACTTCGCATGCGGGATGCTCACATACATGGATGTCGGCCCAAGTGGGATAGGCAGAATTATGATGGTCGTATTTCGTTTCACCGGCAATCAGGGAAGGATAGCAATCGCGAACGTCCCCGAAGAAATTCTGAAGTGGACGGGGCGCTAGAGTTCAAGATTCGACGCAGCGAAGAGTTTGGAATGGACTTCGATTTGATATACTCCGATTCGATCCGAGCACGGGGCTCTCGTGGAGCCGCCGGATGCAGCGATTCGGAGATAAAGCAGCCTCCGTCTGAGGCCTAAGCGGAGGTTGTTCGCTGGTCGCCGCTCCTCGTTCATTAGCAGCCCAGTGAACAACTGAGTGAGTCACGGGTTTCATTTGGAACGAAGACATCCACTCTCCGCGATTCCATCACGAATAGACACATAGCCATCGGCGTACCCATTCAGCCGGTCATTCGTCGTCGCCGTAGGATTTGCACGCACATACGAAGGAAACTGGCGGAGGAGGAGAGCATAACTTCTCCCTATTAGGCTGAAATGTTCGTCTGGCACGCCACGAAGATTATTCTCTGTGTCCTACGAGGTTCATTCCATTTCACAATAAATGAATCGCTCGCTGGGCGAGGTCGGTGCCAGAGCGAGGGTCCGAGGTGTGATTCGCCGGTCGGGACGGCGGAACCCTGCGTCCGGGAGAACTTCCGAAGCTCAAGCCTTCTCTAAGATGCTCACTCGCCGGAAGTAGAGTCGCCGCAGTCAGAAGCTGACCCACAACTCTGTCATGTACTGCCGCCAGTCTCGTGGGTCCCTACGATGACGGATCGGCTGGTCGAGCCGCTGTAGCTGCTTCGCTGACCTCACCCCTTGAGGAGCGAAAGCTCGCTTCTGAAGTTCGAGGAGCTGCACGGCGTCACCCTTGGACAATGTTTACGCCAGATGCCGTGCCGGAAAGCGCCTTGGAGTCGCTCGGCACGATCTTTTGTCTCAAGGAAAGGAGCTCGCGTTCCCCGACGAGTGGGGCAACGGAAAATGCGTTCCAATGGGAGAGCCGTTCGGTTCCTCCACTCACCCAGCAGTCTCCTCTAATACCATGTTCATCGCGAGAGGGTACGCAAAGACGGCCGAGACCCGCATAAGGAGAATTCAGCCGCATCCATTCCATGTGGTTTTCGAAACAGGAGCGTAGGGAATCATCTGCTCCCGTCACCGAATAAAATGACATCAGGCGCGAGGCCCTTGTTGCTGAAGTCAATCGTCAAGCAAAGTGAAACCTCTATCTATCGGGCTCTAGACCGAAATCTGATTCTCCCCAGTCCCCCATAGCTCCGGACTCGAATCGATGATCTCCGGTGCTGTCGAAAATTAGCTAACTCTTGATGTCGAGCTACGCTATCCTCTACTTGTTCTTCATTTGCGTTAATTAGGCCCGAATCCATGGACGCGGGAATCTTCCGCTCTCCATCAATCAAAGCCAAATTAAGTGGGTCGGATTATGGAAAAAATAGATTGATGTTATCGATGCGGCTGAAAATTAGCTCAAATCTTTTCCGCAGTTCATTAATGGGCGCGAGAACCGGGTCGCGGAGCTCGGTTAGGCTGACTGTTTTTTGCCCATGTTTCGTGATTCAATGTCCAAGGTTCCCAGCTTGGCATATAGCTCAGCGGTCGACGATGAGCCGACGAAGCCGCGGACGTGGTGATCAAAGTCGAGATCGGGATTTCGTTCCAATCGATTCCGCTGTCCTCTCGAAGACGATCGCACGGGCTGGGTTATTTGGCTCGCTCGAGTGCGTTTCTTTTACCTTTGCCGCTACTCGCCGAGTTCTGCAGATGGCAAATGAGGTACGCACACAATTGTACTTCGAGAGGCAGCTATTCAAGCATTCTGCCGGCAGTTGCCCTCGATGGGAGCGAACAAGGAAGCGAGCACAGGAGATGGGAGAGAAAAGGAGCCGAAAGATGGAGATCTTCCCTTCCCCTATCCAGGCACACACTCACACAAAAGCCCCGACTGACTCTCGAAGGCCAATTAGGACTCGCATGCTGTACACAGACAGAGTGCATGGCTCCCGGGTAATGATATAATCTCCATAACATGAAAGCAAATCAGATTCGAGATGCCCCCTCGTCGCACGGATTAGGAGTCCGGTGATCCGCGAGCTTCGCCGCCTTCGATTCTCTCGCGTACGAGTCAACACGGATCCACAATCGCTGTCAGTCCTTTTCCGAGTATCAATATCTCCTCTCCTCTCTCGGTGTCAGCATGGCTCGCGCTCAGATTCCCGCCGAGTCGTCGCAATACTCCCGTACTCCCGGCTTCTTTCTCGACGGAGGAAGGGGGAGAGCCTGAATTCTCGGAAATCATCGGGGAGCTCGACGTATTCCCTGTCTAGAGCCGCCCTGATTGAGAGTCCGCCTGCCAGTGAGTCCTCCGCAATATTTGTTCGAGTTCGCGTCTGAATTGGACGGAGACCATCAAAATACTGTTGTGGACGCTGTCGCTACCGCGGCCGAATCCGCTAGATTCATCTTGGGAAATCAGCTTCGCTCTCTGCTGTTCGTCTGATGTTTGTGCTAACAATACTTTCTATGCTCTTGATGATCTTTCCGAGCCTATTTGTTTTTCGCGAGCGTGTGTTTACCTCCGCTGATGTCTTCCACTCATTCCAGGAGGATGTGCAGGTCGGTAAGCGAACGGTCGCTCGGTCGTTTGGTGAGCT